CACAGAGCGAACTGCTGTGGAATCGACAAACTGTCCCAAATGAAACCCCGTTCGAGTTTGTGATCCCCGGTTGCTGTTGTCTTTTGCGTGTTGGTTTGCGTGACGAACTCTATTCAAAACACTGAAAAACCATCTGTGCAATTTAAGACCATTGACAGAACCCGTTTCAGAAACTTGAGGCTTATTTCCACTTTCAAATAACAAACAATTAATTGTGAGCAAAAAATAAGTAAATACATATCAGCTTCAGTTTTTTGAAACAGATTCCGAATGTTGTTACTGTTGGTGAAAATAGTCACCTTTGAAGAGTTTCAAGGTGATAACAAGCCGCCAGTCCGTGAGCACTCAACATGTTTCAGCGATCGGAAGCGTCCTTCAGCGACTTCGGTTTCCAGAGATCGAACATCAGCATCTTATTACTACACATTCGATTTTTCGGTGTACGAATGTAAAATGTCGGTGCGCAAGTCATCTCGCAGCCGTATAGCCATACACTAGTAACCCTGGTATTGCACATCCTTCCTATGAATGAAAATCACCTATTGCAATTTGGCGAGAGCCTACTTTTAATATAATCTCATCTTCAACATCACTGGAAGGTATTATTACGCTCCTCAGGTGCTTTCCAATAGCTTTATCTGTTATTCACAAATTGCAAACAGACTCTAGCTAGTCTGGTAGAAGTACCACATTTGCCTACCTCAATCGCTTAGCAATTTAAAGCGTGTTTAACTGTCTGTATGCTGGAAGAAATAATGAGTAAGATTTCTTCTAAGGCATCAATGAACATTATCTTGCAATCATGCATCCCGTCATTGTTGCGTGCTCCAGATTTTCTGTTGTTGTGTGTATTAGTTTAATTAATTAAGTTAATGATCGTTTTTTTCTTATGTATCTTTACTAAACGTCCATGTAACTACGATTTTCTTCTTCAACTCTCCACGTACAGATCGCTTGTCTTCCTGGGCTCCCGGTTCGTCTGTCATCAGAACACGCCACGAGGGGGAACGGCACAAAGGTCGTTCAGCCGACATTCCTGATCGCCAATTTCCGCAGTTACGAAGTCGCGATCTATCTTACAGCTCCTATCTGTCCCATCTCCGGCCATTTTATGCTTCTAGGATCTCTCGGATTATTGACGATCGCGTTAGTGGCAGCGGCCTCGCTTTATCCGATGCTATTCACCGGGGCTACTGTTTTCGGAGTCACTGATCCCTTGATCAATCAGGAGGAGATCACGGATGCCCATGAAGTTTTTGTCTCAGATCTGCCTGCATCACGAATCCTATCTCAACCGGTGCGATTCTCCATTCAGTGTTTGGTCTTGATCACTTATACGGTTTGTCTATTGTGGGCAGTTTTTCAAAATGGCGCTTTGCATCAGCATTTCACACAAGTTGGGTNCACTTAATCAAATTTGTTAAAAAGACTGCGATTAGATATAAGCAACGCTATCGCATTCCATTCTTTGTATTTACAGAATTGCTAATCTCTAATCGGTTCCGTTTTTCTCCGTGTATGGGAAACTCTCCCTGACCTTTTGCCTAGCAACAAGCTCACGTTTGTGGATATGTCTCATAGCATCTTACATTTCCTGCTCCGATCGTTTTGTTTTGAGGGACGGGACGTGGACGGAATATTTGGAGAACGTAGCTCCCAGCTTTGTGCTGTATAGTTTTCCTCTTTGAATCTCTCAACACACAATCCACGTAGTTCAATCGATGCCGTAAAGCATGCGGAGTCTCATCATCACAAATTATTCGCGTTTGGTGCATACATGCGTACATGATGCCATAGAATGGGCTCTGAGTTGCTGAGGGTTTTTGTTTTTCTTCGGCAAATCCGACCGGACAGTAACCAAGCCTTATTTGGAAAATGCGTTGTAGGCGAATATCTGTTTTTGGACGATCTCATTCATAAACCAATTCGAAAAAACACACGGAACGCGTTATTCTTTAACGCTGTTATAAATAGTCCGTTGTGTGCGAAGCTGAACGGATTCAGATCCACTGGAACGAGTGTTTTAATTTGGTATACTTTACCAAATATTTAACAAGTCAATTGGTCACTGGTTTTCCGCTCGAATGAAGATAACCAACGGAGAGTGCATTTCGATGGTAAGAAAACGGCGTGTAGATTAGTTCGATAGTCCGTCTGCAAGTTTCAGCCCTTTTCAGGTCAAGTTTATATTATAAATAACTGCTCCCATAAATGACTAGCTACTGTAACACGAGCATCTCTCCCCAGAGGATAGAATAACCTCACGTATCACAATAATCGGTAGAGCTTCTTGGATAGACAATTTCGATCGTTTTCTTCAGTGCCAGTCCCGCTTTTAATTCGCGGTTACGCTTCCAACTTTAACCTGCAAGGCAGCAGGTTTGTTCTACACAAGTTACTGTCCCCCAGTTTGGTTTCTTCGCTTCCTCTGTGCTGATAGAACTGTCTTTTTCACTAAGCACACTCTGTGTTACATTAAAAAAATATCCCCAGACTTGTCATATCACTACGATTAAAAATTAGGTTGGAGTAAAAATAGGTCTACAAGTGTTCTTGATTAAGCATGCATTCGTAGGTATGAGTATGGAAGAATGACATTAGTTCGAGAGGACAGGATGTTGTTTAGCACCATCCGAGCGAATCCTTTTTTCTCCAGACTAGAGCTTCATAAATAATGCTGTTCGAAACAACGACTGTCATTGATTTATTGGAGATGAATGGAGATATCCCGTTTGCCGAAGTTTGAACTCTTCTAACTGAATCCCACATGAAAACCACGCTTCACCGGGCGAAGCGATGTTGCTTCCAATGTTACTTACGAATGGAACATCATTATTTGGACGTACGAATCACAATTTACCCGGGGGGGGGGGGATCTTCGTAAATGATCCGAGTTTGGGCAAACAAAAGACAAAACACCTGTCGTATTTGACGATGCGTCTTCACAATTATGGGGTGCAACGTGGATAAACAGAACGGGCAGCATGATTATCTCGCAGCGAAATGGCAGTCGAATTCTGAGAGACCATGAGTTAGCAATCACATCAGCAATAGAGAAATATTTATTGCACAATAGTAGCACCCCATTGCGAAACTCGAAACAAACGTTAGTGAACTCAAACGACCAGAAACTCATGGAGAACGTGTGGGATAATTTGGAAGACAAAGTGTTACCTAACTCGGCCAGCTTGGAAAGCTTTTGATCTGAACGTGGGATGAGATGCTCAATTGGTGGAATGTATGATACGCGGGCACCGTGAATTATTCACAGAGGTGGAAATATCAGCTCCAGTTAAGTAATCATCAATTCAGTCTTGGAATTGCTTGGTGTGAAAAATCGGGCGACTGGTATTGCAACATTTCACTGAATCGGGGAAAGGGGTGAGGCGTAGGTATAGATAGAACAGAATAAGGAATGATGATCTTATTCGTAATTGTCCCATTCTCTACATTCCTGTATCGTCGTCAGACTTTAGGGACACTTGCAAGACCCACCACATCGGCGACACTGCTGCTGCTCGTTCGCGGCCACTTATTCAATGAACCTTGATGGGCCTTAATTGCGTGTAGCCAACAACCTGGTAGCTATTCTCTCAGCCTTGACGATACTCCAGGTAGCATGCAGATCCACCCTTAAAGGTTTCGGTACGGATGAGGAAGAACTTGGCAAGCACAAACCTGGAGACTAAATGCCTGGGTGAATCAAATCAAGGTTATTGTTACAAGATTTCAGATCACAGACGAGTGAATAAACCCTTCGCCAAATGCCTTCCGCAGGCTTAGCATTCCAATCCTGTTGACTCTGAAAGCGTCTTGGAACTAAGTTTCTTGCTCAGCCCATTGATTGTGTTCTCTTTGAAGGGCATTTGCCAGAGAAGTTCACCTCGCTTTTACGTCCCGTGTACACGATTAGTCGTAGCCTAATTTAGACTCAAGTGTCCCGTCTGAATTCACCACAGAAGGTGATGTTTCTCTTAGTTACCCTACCAATTCTTCAAATGATTGTACGAATTTTTTGACTTTTTCTCTTACTGTTTTTAGGGTGGTGGAGTCTTTTTGCTTCCAGACTGTAGATTGTTCGCCCTGTATGACGCAAATAACGTGCTGCCAAGGGCTGTATAGGTTTGTTATAAGCTTTTTCGAATGGATTAATGTGATCGGTGACTATCAGCTGGAAATCATGAATTTACGTGGTTGAGTTGAGTTCTACAATTGTTTTTNTGTTAACCATGAACCTTTGTGTGATTGTTTTGATTGCCGTCTATAGACTACCCACTTAGATAAAAGAGCAGGAGAAAAATTGAAATATTGAGAGCAGGGTCAAAAGAAGAAAAATAATAATAATTCATATTAATTCACACTGAGTTCAGTCGCAATGATAATGAGTAGATGCGACATTTAGCCATATCACCAAGGTAACACTGATTTCAATCCAGCATGAGTCCTGACCACTTGAATGTTTGCTGTATTTGTCCACTGCAAAATCTAGTCATTCCTTGATTGAATTCCGCTCTCTATGATGAATCGTCATACTGAGCATACAACAGAACATTTCACGACCATGTGAACAGAGGCATACCTATGCAGACACACGGAAATCAACTACCTCTGCCACCCGTACGCAAACTCCGAGACAGTTGATTCGATCTGTGTTCGGTTGCAAGACAATAACTTATGACATTTCGCTTGCACCCTACCAGGTGCAGACGGTGCTAGGTCGCGCATTCAAACTGGATGAACGGCTGTTTCCATTGGGTTGGCCACGGTCTTGCTGATACAGATTCGTTGAACGATTTCCTCTGTGTCACTTCGGGTATTGTGTTTACGATGTGGGTTGTTGAGGTCAACGCTGTAGTCTGCGACATCTCGGGAAACATGGCGTACGGGCACTACCTTCCTCCTCCTCCTCCTGCATCGGTCATGCAACCTCGTCAAAATTTGTTGTCATTCCCACGATTATCTCGGTCTTGTTTCCCACAGTGCACAGCTGGACATGGAATGTATTTGCCTCAGATACGAGTTACCATGCTCTTTGGACATGTGTCAAACCAAACAAAGTAATCTCTTCGCACGATTTTTAAGGTTGAGAAATCGATTCGTTTTTTGCTCGGAATTCAGTCGATTCCGATTTTTAGGAAAAAATTGCAGTTTCCTGCAGAAAATGAATTCCGCTTTGATTCAAGTATTTCGAGTGTCCAAAAACTCTTAGTTCTCAATATAACTCGAGTCGTATACCAACCATAATTTTGTGCATTGCTTGTGTAAACTCGTATAGCGCGCGCAAGTGCCCTACCAAAGCATGGATGGTGTTCATTCATGGGTTCGAAGTCTACTAAGAATGACACTGAAAACACTCATGCTTCCCTTGTTGGTTTTGCTTTGGTTGTTTACTCCCTCTCGCGAATCACCGCTTCCTTTTTACAGTATCGTTTCGATTGTAAAACAAGGAGTGTGTTTCTCCGGTTGCAACAGTGTCTATAGAAATCCTACTGCAACTGGAGTTGTCATGACACGGGGTGTTCAAGTATTTGTTCTGTGCGAAAGTGCGGAATCAGTTAAATGTCATATATTGGTCTATTTTCGCCCTGTGTAATCCCTTCTGCATTCACATTCGATGAACGGGGCATAGAAATATCATTACGGCTCATCGGACTCACAATCGACGAGGCTGTCATGAATTTATCGTCCTCCTTGACGTTTAACTCACTCTTTCATAATGCTTGTGACTCGCTGGAATCGATCATGTCTGCATGTGTTTGTGTGTGCGCACGATTAGGGATATCGTGTTAAGCTAATTCCTGGTCTTGGTAACAATCTTCTCGTCGTCGCTGACCTGTTTTCAGCTCGTGTACCTATTCGACCGTTGGCTAAGGTCAACTTGGATTATTTTTCTTCTCCGTTCACATGTCCGTGATATGTGGATATTTTCCTGACTTACACACGGATATACCCAGTTGCGTACGTTTTTCCTTTTCGCCAAACTTAGAAATATTTATGTGATTTGTCGCAGTACTAGTAAAACTGATCATGTTGATAAATGACAAGTTTTTCGCTCAGTTCAATCATCAGCTTTGCAATACCATTCACCAGTTTCGACTCATCTGTCGGCAACCCATTTGATCGATCAATAATGAGATGAGTGAAATTAAACGAAAAGCAAGTGAGAATAGTTGCACGAGGTGCGTCCAGTACAATACTACATCTAAATAAGCGGGACCTAGGTGGTTCACTGCTCCAAAACCCAGACTGAACTTGCTGGTTCCCATCACTAAACAGTTGGTCTTCCCGGTGGTCGCCTCCCTTCCGACTGCTGTTCACCACCAGTGTATGCAGTAAAAA